TTACAAATAACTTCATTTCTGGACATTTATGGTTTGATTTCTTTGTATGTATGGATCACTTGGGTTGTTACCAACATCTGGTGAAAATTGCATGTTATTAGCACCTCTAGTAATATATTTATTGAGAAAAATGGTGACGTGTTCAATACTTATTTTACCCGCTGTATGTATAAACAAGATGACAAGAAATCTGAAAAACATGACAATTTTTATTTTCAAGAAATTATTGGGGAAAAAATGTCCTTTCAGCAGGATTTTTGAAGTTGGGCCCTTGAGGTCAAAGGTTACATGTGAAAAGGTCACGGCCTTGTTTGGTAGAAGCTTCGTTCTAAAGTCTGAAGAGATTCAGCCAGTCGGTTGAAGTAGTGGCAAAACTTTTTTTTCTTAAAAAGATTCTTAAAATCTCATCACTTGAGGAGTGTCTCATTCCACCAGTTATTGAAAGATCCTACTGCCTACAGAAGCACTTCATAAAAACAGAACCCAGTTTATGTTTACATTTGTTTACTTTGGTGTGAAATCTTTTGTTATAGCATAAACTGGATGAGGTTTCTTTATCATTTAACTTCTTATTTTATTGATTTAAAGAGGTTAAAGTTTATTACTATTATTCAGATTTTAAGTTGAGATAGGATATGAAAACCCACTGATGAATAACCTCTGAAAAAGAAGCTGCTCGTTGTCATTGTGAAGGTTTTTTTTTTCTACAGAAAATCCAGCATGTTGTTCGAACCTGTTGCTGAGATGCTGCTGCAGCTGCTGGTAGAATTCATTCAGCTCAGCCAACTTGATGTTGGAGCGGACACTGAGAGGAACTGCTTCAAATGTGGCTGCGCTCACTTCCTCGTACCCACAGCCTGGAGACGAACACACAACAGGCTTTCAATGAGCAGACACAAAGACACAGGCTTTAATGAATGAACTGCCTCCTTCTTTGGTTTGCTTCTCCCAGGTTCTGACACGTCAGTCAAAGGCATTAAATATTAAAAGCTACAGCTGCACATTTTAGCTGTTTTAGTCATTTTAAAGGGGACCTATTATGCAAAATTCACTTTTTAAAGTTTTTTTTTTACTCAACTTTGGGTATGTACTTCTTAAAAAAAAAACAGTCCTAGGACCAAAAAAATGCACCCAGGGGCATATTTACTGTGAGTAAACATATTTTTAATGTATATTAACGACAAGTTTAGCGCTCGCATTCGTCCATGCGTCGTCGTGCTATGACCGCAGGAGAAACGATGTCCAGACTGATTTTTGTGCGTCCCACCTGAGCACTGACTTCACCTGCACTGACTGTCGCCTCGCTGCGTGGAAATGAAAGGAGAGCGAATGACGTCGCCTCCCGTGTGTCGAGCCCTTCACACATGCCACGGCACGCGCTCCTCCCCCTGCAGGCAGTGTGGTCGGTCGGCATCCGACTGGTGGACGCACCGTCACGTAAACATGTAAACAGTTCGGCGTTCATTTTCACACACCTGAACCAGGTCCAGATAAGTGTTTTTTCCCCTCTACATTTGCGCTCTCAGCCACGCTTCCTCTGTTTTGACTCCAGCCGGTTACGTCATCAAAAAGAACTGCGCAGTTGGCCGGTAGACTACAGATCTCTATCATAGCACAAATACATATCGTTTCTACCGTATATCGTTTATATCGCGCATTCCTAATGTAATGTAATTATGTGTTGTAAAACATTTGTTTACAGTAGTTAAACACCAACTGTAGTGGGGATCACCAACCTTTTTGAGGCAGAGAGCTACTTCAGGGGTACAGAGTAACACAAAGGACTACTTGTTTGATAAAAACATAAATTTACACGGCTCACCTTTAATTATGGTATTAATAATAAATGTATATGTGTATACATGCCTGATTACATCTTAATGTTAAAAACGCCTCATAAAACTGATGAATAATAATGGTCTATGGTTGATAATGTGATAATAAGTGATAACAACTCAGATCTCAGAGTTTTCAGTTTTAAAACTAGGGATGCATGATATATTGGTATTGATTTCGGTATTGGCCGACATTGGTCATTTTTTTAGAATATCGGTATTGGTCCGATATGTAAAAAGGGGCCGATATTAATGTCCGATATTGATTTCCCACTTTTTAGCTTTGTGTTTCTGTTTTGGGAGGTGAGATGGTTGGTTGAGCAGCATCTGTTTGATCATGATAGTGATATTGACGCTGCGCAGCCAGGAATAACTGAAGTAGAGCCATGTCAGAGGTCTGATTGTTTACTTACAGTATCAAAAAAAGACCCAAGTGTGTTTTTGCGTATATGTATAATATAATTTGTATGTTTGTGTAATATCGTTAAACATCGGTTATCGGCCATAACACCAATTATTTTATCGGATATTGATATCGGCTGAAATTGTCATATCGGTGCATCCCTATTTAAAACCTTTCGGAGCTCTTCTGTGTGACACTACAGCTGTGACTGGAAGGGTGGATAGTTGTTTGTCTCGGTCTGTGTCCCTGTGATGGACTGGAGACCTGTCCAGGTGTCCCTGTGATGGACTGGAGACCTGTCCAGGTGTCCCTGTGATGGACTGGATACCTGTCCAGGTGTCCCTGTGATGGACTGGATACCTGTCCAGGTGTCCCCTGCTTTCACCCAAAGGTTGCTGAGACAGGCTCCAGCTCCCACCCTGACTTTGATTAGGAGCGAGGACAGAGTGGATGGAGGATTTGGTTTTGATGGCAGAAAACTGATATTTAAACATAAAATAGTATTTGCTTTTTGCTCATCTGAATCAGTAACATTTGAAATTCTGTGTATTTTGTAAATTTGACAGTTTTGTAGAAATGAACACATATGTAATTTTCAAAATACAATGTTTTTTAATTAAATACCACCTAATAATTTTTAAAGAAATTATAAACTATACATAAAATCTTCAAATCACATCCCCCTTGCACTAATCATTATCTTTGTAAAACTGCTGAAGAACTCTAACTCTTGTAAAACATCAGTAACGTAATAAAAAAATAAAACTATAAGAAAAGACGTTTTACTGATCACTGAAAATAATGTGTTTTGCTGCTCTGGGAGGTAAAGCTATAATATCTGTGCCCTAAAGGGTTAACGTTCAGGGGAGMGYGGGGCTAGTTMTGTGTGTGGAGAGAGACGAGCCACGCAGCAGCCTGGCTGGGACTGAGGAGACAGGACTGTTTCTGTTGGTCCAGCGAGTTGSAGCTGCCCCTCCTCATGATGCCTTTTTTAATGTATTGTTGAACTCTAAAGAGTTTTTAGATGACTATGACTGCTTTTTTMCAAGCTGAGAGTCATTACGATAGCTTTTTAGCTTGTCGACGTCCGCTCTGAGTAAACAAACAAAGCTTAACATGGSAGGGAGGCATGTAAAGCCTGGCGATCCGCCAGGCCTATAATGCYCTGCGGGAAACCCTGCTGTCATTTTTCATGTTTGACCAAAACAATTTCATCCTTTCTCACCATCCTGGTCTAAAACTCTGACATGAAGCCTGGAGGGCGACATGCATTTCTTAAAGGAACGTGAGGCCTTTTATTTAGAAATAATGGATGCAGGGGAGAGAAAATAAATAGCTAACATGAAGTACATGAAGACATTTTAAAATAACTAATTTTAAACAGAAATATTGTGCTGATAATTTCATGTAATTTCTGCACCGCTGCAGGCAGAGCAGAAGACACTTACTCTGTGGTTGTTTTTGGTCAGAAGTTGTAGAAGTAGGAGTCTCCTGGAAGAAAAGAAGAACAGCAGCCATCACATTTATGGTTGTTTCTTTGACATTTCTTGTTAAGAAGACTTTCAGTCCAGACAGCTGCTTTTTACAAGAATTCAATAAATACATTTTTTGCAGTTTTAGGTCAAGGCAAGTAAAACATTGTCAGCAAATTAAAATTTAAAGCTTAATCATTAAATTAATACCATCATAAATCGCCCAAAACATTTGTTTTCATTCCAACTTGTTATTGTAAAAAAATAAATAAATACTACCCATATAAATTGTGCCTCCTAGATAGAATGAATTTAATTG